CTAACTCCATTTATGCAAACGTTTGATCATTTCACGCTTTTCGTGCGAGCAAAGGGCGGCTGTTACGCGCCTTCATCGAGCACGCGCATATTCTGCCGCTTGTGGCGGCGGCGGTGCGGAGATGCAGGGGAAGACGTTATCTGATGGGGAAACAAGGCTCGATGTAACACCGGCACAGACGAGTGATTAAACAGAAACGATTTTAAGGCATTTATTTTCTCAGAAAATACATTATTAATATGAACACATTATATTTTTAATACGCTTACTATTTTCGGAGAGGTGAAAACGTAATTTAGGTATTAAATAAATAAAATAAAATCGAGGACGACCCGGAAGTGTATCTAGTTGCGCATGCGCAAATGAGCCGATGGTACGGGTCGGGTAGTGTCACGCTCTTCTGTTAGAATCCGGATTTTTGTTTTGTTTTCAACAAAAATGTCTTCAATCCAGCTCCAAGGAGAGATCGACAACGAGCTGTCAACTCCTGCTGAAGAAACATTGACTGAATTTAAAGAGATAATCATCAAATCCGAAGAAGAGAACAGCGATGAGTGCAAACCGCTGACTGTCTTGCAGCGAACAGGTATGAAACACCAGCTGTTCTAACGGTTTGCGGACCAGACCTGTTATTGGAGTCGCTGAATTCTGCATCGGTTTTAATTGGCTGTTACACCAGACCTTTTTGTTTTTATTTTTTAATTTACCACCTGAAAAAAAATTAACTCAAAAATACCAGTTTATGCAGTTCCTAAATTGATTGTGTACTAATTCAAAGATCTAGAGCTATATACATAGCTTGAAATGACAAAGATAGCTTTAAAATAACCAAAAGGAAGAAAAACGTCTAAATTAAACAAGATGAAAAATCATATTGTAAAAGAATATTTAGATATAGAATATTTTTGTGTGAAAGAAGCCATGTAGGCTCGGAGATAAAGCACATTCTTGTTTCTTTTTGGGTTCATTACATAAAAAATGTCAAAATTATTGCTAATTCTAATATGTTTATTAGTGTTAATTTGAAATAAATGCCTAATGAACTTAGCTGAAATAAAAATATCGGTAAAGCTTCTGTGATGATAGGAGAGATTAGATGTTTTTGTTAAAACCAGCTGTCCCTCCTCTTCATAAAATGCTTATTTGTTAATATAAATATTATTTCATTTTTCAGTTAACAAATCTGATTAATCAGTATGACTATTTGGTTATTTAATACATTTTTTATATATATATATATATATATATATATATATATATATATATAGTTTTTTTTTGTATATCCTTGCAGTAAAAATAGATATTTTTAACTAATTTGATATCCATTTCTTCTGCAAATTGCTTTACATTTGTAAATATTATCATGTATACACAGATTGACATTTTCCATTGAAAACCCAATGAACCCTATTTGCTTCTCTGTCCAGTGTTCCATTAAAGCAGACTTCATTCTATGTAAATCTACTTTTTGTTTCTTAAAGATTTTATGCTTTTGTTGTATACCGAATTTAGCTTTAAACATTGCACCAGAGGTTGTTTGGGTACAGACATAGCCTAGTAAACTAGCCCCACCTACCAGCGGCCAAAATAATTTTTGTCTGCGAGTGGTCTAGCCTAGATCAATGCCCCAGGCCCTAGAACTGGCTGGCCAATCACAAGGCAGAGTTTTGTTTTGAATTTGAGGGCGTGACGACAAAGCTATGCGACGCTGGAGAAAGCACAACAAGGAAGATGACAACAACTATTGAACAGTTCTCGTTTGACTCAGCTTTGGAATCAGTTTTCAAAGGATTAGACTTGTTTTTTTTTTTGTTGAAACGTGAGCAGGAAGAGGCTCAACTCTTCATTTTTAAGAAGGACGTATTCGCCGTTTTACCAACAGGCTATGGCAAAAGTCTGATCTACCAACTAGCTCCACTGGTAGTCAAAAGGATGGGGCTCTGTGAAAACCCTATGGTAGTAATTGTCTCCTCCTTGTTAGCGCTAATGGAAAACCAGTGTGAAGGAGGCAAGCAGTTTACTTACTGCCATGCAACTTCCGATTTCCTCGGTGTAATCGAAACGTTTACTCCGACTTTCTGTAATCTTTCTGCCACTGACAACGGTTGATTTGAACTTTGGAAAAGTTGTGTACAGTGGTGTAGTACACCGGCTACTAGCATGTCTTTTTTTGCAAAAATGACAACTATAGTCCAACTCCATGATCTCAACAAGTTCTCCACTGCTTACATCACAGGCTGTTTGTTTACAGTCTCCCATCAGCTTTCTGTCACGCTTACTGCGTCACAGTCAGTTGCGCACATTGGTCAGAGCGTTGGCCAATAGGCACAGACGTGGTTTGAAAAACAAAAGGTTGTTCTCATCAACAATCTTCCGATGTCTCATTCATCGGGGTCAGACTAAATTACACATTTTATCTCACATTTAGTCTGGTTTATCAGGCTAGTGATGCACGTGAACCATTGACTTTGCCTGTAAACTAGCTGCTTTTGCTGCCCCTGCTGCCTTAGGTGTGAACGTAGCATTATGTTGTTGTTAGCTCATGTCACAAGCACTCTGTCTGGGCTTGCTTCGTTCTCGATCTCGGAAACATCCGATCACCTTGACGGACAGCATGCGTGTTCATGTTTTTTTAAGGAGTGGTTTTGAGGGGTGGTCTGAAGAGAGAGGCATGGTTGAGTACCTTCAAAAATATAGCTTCCTGGAACAGCCTTCTCCTACGGCACCTTTAATGTTTACAAAGATTTTAAAATAAAAATGTAAAAGATAAGCATGTCAAAAAGTTTGTACTCAGGCTTGTTCTCGCTGTATTAGCAAAATTGCATTTTGTGCTAAAAGACCACAGAGGATTTTTTTTTGCTGCCAAAGCTCAAGCGCTCATTTAACATTTTAGAGACGGATTTCACTGCTTACACTCAAAACGTGTAATACTGGCATTCCAAATGCCTTTTTTCTCTAAAATAGATTCTCTTCTCCATCAAAAATCTTTGTTCCTGCTCTAAAATTTACTCCTTCTTCACAGATATTTCATATTTATATTTCCTCCTCCCCTTGCTTCTTCTCCCCCAAGTCATAAATTTGCTTGCAAACATGTTGTGTCCCTGCTTGTGGCTTTTTTTTTGTTCCGCTATCACTCAGATTGCAAACAGATTATTCCGTCCTGATTATACCATTCCGACCAATAAAATGACAGCCTTGGATAGGGTACTCGGAGCCAAGGGATCCCTGGATTAGGGCACACTTGTTTCCTTCTACTGAGTGCGCCTGTAATACTATAATAGCTCTCCCTCATTAACCATGTAAAAAAAAAAAAAAAAAAAAAAAAAAAAAAAAAAAAAAGTCTAAAAATAATGATAGAAATTAATATT